CTAAGGGTATCCCCATAATATACAACATGAGGACCTAAGGGTACCCCCATAGTATAGGACTTGAGGACCTAAGAGTACCCCCATAATATAGGACTTGAGGACCCAGGGGTACCCCTATAATATAGGACTTGAGGACCTAAGGGTACCCCTATAATATAGGACTTGAGGACCTAAGGGTACCTCTATAATATAGGACTTAAGGACCCAAGGGTACCCCCATAATAGAGGACTTGAGGACCTAAGGGTACCCCTATAGTATAGGACTTGAGGACCTAAGGGTACCCCCATAATATAGGACTTGAGGACCTAAGGGTACCCCCATAATATAGGACATGAGGACCCAAGGGTACCCCCATAGTGTAGGACTTGAGGACCTAAGAGTGCCCCCATAATATAGGACTTGAGGGCCCAGGGGTACCCCCATAATATAGGAGTTGAGAACCCAAGGGTACCCCTATAGGATCTCAAAATTTGGGAAAGACAACCTTTGCGTGATGATGGAAGTGAGTTGGAGTTACCCGTTACCGTTACCAAGTAACGCAGAGTTACCGTTACCCGGTAACTAGTAACGCAAAAGTTACTAGTTACCAAGTAACTAGTAACGCAAAAGTTACTAGTTACCAAGTAACTGGTAACGCAAAAGTTACTAGTTACCAAGTAACTAGTAACGCAAAAGTTACTAGTTACCAGGTAACTAGTAACGGAAAAGTTACTAGTTACCTGGTAACGTAACGCATCGGTAACGGTAACTTCCCTCCCCTAATCCAAAGCAGCTACTAATATTCAAAAAAAGAATTGGTAACTGTTAGTCGATTGCTGTGGAAATACAGCACTTGTTAAATGAATGTCATATTCCGGAGAAAAATTATTTTCCAATTTCGATATGAAACTGTATAAAAATAGATCTTAACGAAAATATATTGAAATCTTTTCGCTATTGCTATTCTAATATATGAGTATGGAAAATGTGTATCTTTTACAATGGTACATCCTGCAGTCATAAATCCATAGAGAAGTGAATCAAAAGATCTGTAACCTTTACAATAAACTATTTACTTTAAGACTTTTGCCTGTCAAATTCTTCAAATCAAAATTCAAATAAGAGTTTTTCTAGGAACATGACATTCATCTGAAATGTGCGTTTTTTTTCGCAGTAATAAGTTAAGGCTTCGAGATCTTTTCGAGACATACATATCTTATTTAGATTTAGAAAATGTGCATTGTCTCAACTGAAAAGTATGTTATCAATTGGACATAGTTTCTTCAGTAGAATTCAGGATCACATGCATATTGAATATCAGCACCAATACAAACAATATATCTATCCTACAAAGACAGTTTAATTAATCGTATGATAAAATCTAAGTTTATTGGGCAAACATTTTGAAATTCTCTGAAAATACATCTAAAACCTAATTTCTTTCACATGTATGAAGTTCATAGTGAAGAAAAATTTTTAGATAATGTAGAGTAAAAGTCACCACTTCTTTCAGATATCGAGTTTCAATATAAGATAGGCTTATTAAAATCTTTCTATTGATGGTTTTTCAAGACATATTACACTTTGTATTGATGAAAACTTTTCCGTTCTCTACAATCTACCACCAAATGATTACTATCTTGTAAATAAAAAGTTGAATTCAAACAGAAAAATTCTCTCTTCGGTCATGTTTTTTATAGATGCACATTGTTGCTCATTTCTAATAAGAGAAAAATCTAAATTTAATTAAAATATTTTTATTCAGCAATTCTTTGTTGTTCATCTTCGTGATCCAAATCCAGTAGATCCAGCTGAAAATGATACCGATTCATTAATACCATGTGATCCAATGGAAACACGTGATGCATTTTTAAATTTTGCTCGTGATAAACATTATGAATTTTCATCATTACGTCGTGCAAAATTTTCAACAAGAGCTTTATTATATGAATTACATATATCAACAACAGATAAGTTTATATATAATTGTAATATATGTCAACAACAATGTGATATACATTATCATTGTACAATGTGTGAAGATTTTGATCTATGTGAAAAATGTTAGAATATGGAACCCAAGCATGAACATAAAATGGAACGTTTTTACTTTCATGCGATATTTATTTAACCCTCTACCCATGATAGGGCCTAAAGGGACAAATGATTTTGAAAACAAGTTGCTTATAAAGAATGAAAAGCAATTAAAAAAAAGCACAAAACATGAAGCATATAAAACTGTGGGCATAGATAACGTGAGTTATGAGCGATGGCTTGCCGAGTCGAACCATTTTGGTATGCGAGTGGAATGCATAGACCATCGACGAACGAGTAGCTTGCGACGTGTAGAACAGAACAGAGTTATATAACATGGTGCTGTGGGAGGAAAGGCTCGAACACGATGCTTATTCTCGAGAAACCAATATATTACCATTGCGCCAATCCCCCCAAAATGGAACGTTTTGTTTCACCCTTAGTTGAACATTTTGATCGAAATTCTTCAAATCGAAATGATAAATCTGTCGTAAATTCACAATTACAACGTCAACAATTAATACAGCGTTGTATTGAAGTTTTGTTACATGCAGTTAATTGTCGAAATGCTAACTGTCTTAAGCATAATTACTTTCGTTATAAACGTTTTATACAACATTATAATGAATGTCAAAGAAAAAATGGTCAATGTAATATATGTAAACCAGTTATATATCTTTGTTGACATCATGCGAAAAGTTGTATGGATCAAACTTGTCAAATGCCATTTTGTATAAGTGTAAAAAGTGAAATACAAAAACAACGAATGACTAGTTTGCAAACAGATCGTCGTCGTATGCAAGCTATGATGCAACAAAGAACGAGTACAATGCAAGAACAACCTCAAGGTAGATTAATAGTTTTTACAGTTAAAAAATAGTAAAAATCAATCATACGATAAAAATATTAACTGAAGGAGGTTGTTATCTATCAGATGTAGAAAGATATATGTGATTAAAAAAAAAGTATTATTGTTGGATAGTGATCATATAATAATCTTCCCAATAGTTTGAACGATTTTCATGAGCTACATAATCACTCAGAATTGATGATGTGCCTAACAGATGATCTTTTTCTGCCTAACATCGTTACAAAAGCTTGAAGTATTGAAATGCGAATTTTATCTATGCCAAATATCATCTTTGTTCACTGTTAACGGGTTGTATTTAATAAAAAAAATGAGCACATAGATTTTAATTTCGCAGTAATATATTTCGTATTTCAGGATGCCAAATATGAAACAATTTTCTTATTCAACGTTACAAAATACACTTTCTGTTCATAGTTTAGAAGAAAACTGTTCGAAAAAAGTAAACTCAAAATTACGTCCTACGTAAAACAGTACTTAGAGTTTCTTTAAATAATATTTGCAAAATCGTCATATGTTTTTATATGAAATATTCGATTGCTATCTAACTTAGCGAATTTAAAGCGAAAACATTTGTGATTATTAATAAGATATGTTTTATTTCTCTTTCCAGTAATATTTAAGCGTTTATTTTCCATCCATATGGTGCTTTCAAGAGTTGATGAAGTGTCCTGAATCTAGGCCACTTGCCCGCAGAACATCTGCTCGCCGGACAGATCCCCGCAAGACACTTGCCCGTATGATGCTTGCTCGCACCCTCACCCTCAATATTGTCCATTGCGGGCACGTATCGCACGGGCAAGTGTCTTGCGGGCATCTGTCCGGCGGGCAACTGTCTAGCAGGCAAGTGGCCGTAACCCAAGTGTCCTATCGTACGATTTCATAGGTCGTAGAGATCTCTGTTGAAGAGATTTTTAATAATGATATCGTAAAAAAACATAGTGAGAGATTGCCTACACTTTCCACGACCTTCCTTTAAATAGTTAAAAATATCATCAAAAGCATTTTTCATGAATCTTTTGATACTTTTTTTTACAGTTTTTCTGATGTCGTTAACTTGTAAAGATGCTGTTGTTCTTAATTTTATGCTCTCTATAAGATTGCTTTAAAAAAACAGCTTCAAAAAAGTTTTCTGATACCTATGAAGTCTTAGTTTAGATAACTACATGATATTCGTAGTTGAACTGCGTGCTTAAGATTACATCGAAAACAAAAAGAACATTGTTATTTAAAATTTATCTATAACTTTATTAATAAATATAAAGAGAAGAATATATGGTTATTATAAATGTCTGATAAGAAATCAAAGATCTATTCTTGAAATGAATATTCTAAAAGATCATTTTCCTTTTAGTGCCAGTTCCTCCGCCGTGTGCTGATAGAATATCAAATCCTTCCCACGCATTGTGTTATGATACTTCTTTACCAAATCCAACAAGAAATAAATCAACAGGTAAACCATCAATAGTACCCATTCGTACGCCTCAACATTCTACTAATTGGCATAATCTAGCTCAACAGCAATCATATATAATGGCACAAACACCTAGGAACAGTAAACCACATGGTAATTTAACTCAATCACAATCAACAATTCAATTATCCATTAATAAATCGAGCTAAGCAAGATTCATTAATGGATGAATAACAGCAACCACAATCGTATTCAACAAAATATCAGTAACAATACTATCCATCACCAAACTATACTGCGGCTACGAGTACTGGTTATACATCTACCATGCTACAACAAATTCAAAGTCAACCAACGCAACAAACACTTTTAGTACGATTAAGATCGAATCCCTCAACTATGTCACCAACTTATATATCACGAACAGCTTCAACATCGACTCTAATTCGGCCATCATTGATAAGACGATTGCAATTTTCCTCTCAACAACAACGACTATGAAATCTATTTCCATGTCAATGTGTTTCGTTGACCTGATAAGTGAATAATAAAACTCAATGATAGAGTATTGAAAAAGAAATCGAACGAGATTTATTCGTAAATATACCTCACTATTAGAGATCTGCGTGACCATGCCGTTGTAACCAAAAAAAACAAAAATTCTTCGGTAACAGTTTCCACGGTGGATGTGAAAAAATAATTCTGTTTGATGTTTTCTACTCAGAATTTTAAGCTCGTTAAAATGACACAAAAAAGTCGAGAATATATAATGATCTACGACGGAGAAAACTGCGACACATTCGTCGTGACCGTTCGTGACCAAAACTAGTCACGACAAATGTGCCGCAGTTTTCTCCGTCTTAGATCATTATATTCTCGACTTTTTTGTGTCATTTTAAAGAGCTTAAAATTCTGAGTAGAAAACATCAAACAGAATTATTTTTTTCACATCCACCGTGAAAGCTGTTATCGAAGAATTTTTGTTTTTTTTTGATCACGACGGAATGGTCATGCAGGTCTCTACTCACAACATAGACAAGTATTGCAAAGCCTATTTTATCATGAATGAAACGTTCAATTAGAAGCTTCAGATTCATACTAGTATACATAGAATCTAATGAGTAGTTCATTTAAGAATAATGTGACAAAACTTTTTTTCTTTCGAAAATACGACAGAAGACATCACATTAAGATAAAAGTATTTTGATTTTATCTCAAGTTGCGCATCAATGCCCAGGGTTACACTATATACTTGCTAACCCAAAACCCGTTCTATACAAAATACACGAGATACCGTCGCTGATGGCGAACTTCGTGTATCAAGCGGTATGTTTCATGCGGATATGCTCACTTTCCAATATCCGTAATATAGAAAATCGTACTTTTTATTTCTTTGTTTTCTATGTTAGTAATACAGAAAACACCCATTTTTGTGTGTTATTTTTCTATAGTGATAATATACAAAATGATGTTTTTTATTTCTTACGTTAGTTTTGTATATTGATAATATAGAAAAGAAGATTTTTTATTTCTGATTTTTCTATATTGATACTATAGAAAATGGTATTTGTCGTTTGTTCATTTTCTATATAAATAAGATACAAAAGAATATTTTTTTATTTGTTATTTTTCCATATCGGTAATATAGAAAATCATATTTTTTTATTTCTTAGTTTTCTTTACTGATAATATAGAAGACAGTATATTTCCGTTTGTTATTTTTCTATATTGGTAATTTAGAAAATGGTATTTTTTATTTTGTTAGTTTTCTATAGTAATATAGAAATCAGTATTTCATATTTGTCATTTTTCTGCTTTCATAATGTAGAAAATTGTGTTTTGTATTTGTTAATTTTCGATGTTAATGATATAGAAAATGACATTTTTGATTTGTCATTTTTCTATATTCATCGTATAGGAAATAAATTCTTTATGTATCAGTTTTTGTGGCCACTATTTCATGGATTTTATTGATTAATGATGCCTCCAAGTGTAGGTATCTCTATATCAGTTCTATGGATGATAGGGTGGGTGTGTGACTGTGGCTGCGGGCGTGGGAGTGGGTGAAAAGTATATCCAAATCCACACCCATACCTACCCACACCTACACCTACATCCACACCCAGCGATCGAATCAAACTATTTTTTATTTGTGCTATTGTTTTTGACACAAATCGAATTCAAGTTTTTCAATTCGCTTTTCATATCGTTTATAGTCGATTGAAGACGATGATTATCGGCTTTTGCTTCTTCCATGCCATTGAAAAGTATCATAAATTGCTGTTGAATTCCAGAAGGATTTTTGTTACGCATGTGTTCGAAGCATGCTCGCCATGTATGCTGTACGACTGGTGGTCGCTTCGATAAAGGTAGTTGACATAGGTGACAAGGAATCATTTCGAATTCGCATATTCTTTCATGTCGTTCAAGATCACAATAGGATGAAATCACTCGACATCCATTTGGAGTGTATGCACAACGAACTCGTAATCTAGCAAGATCGGCAGCCACCTGGCTAGATACTGGCATTTCTTCAAATTTTTTACAGTTGTTCGTACCATGTTGTGCACGTTGACCATTGAAAAATGTTGTAATTTTATCGACAATACTGCTTGTGGGCCGGCATTTTTCGCAGAAAAGCGTTCCACATTTTCTACAAGCAACCGGTCTCCATAATACATGGCAACATTGGGAACACAGCACGGTGTCGGTCAAAACTGAGAGCGATTCCCTGTCGAGAACAATTCGGTTTCTATCAAGTATATTGATTTCAACCGTAGATTTGATGGAAGTTCGTTTCACAGTATTCTAATCAAGAAAGAACTGAATATTAATGATCGAGTACTATCACATAAGTACTTACATCATTCTCATCCACGATGATACCATGTGACATTAACAATCTGTTCTGATCATCTTAAGAAAAAAGACAGATATTCGTTTGATTATCTTGAATTTGTTCGAAAGTAAAAATGTCGAAAGGAGAAAGGTCGAACAACCACATTGTAAATATGTCGAAACCGCGGGGATACTTCCACATATTGTCTCGTTCTGAAAATCAATAAACTAACCAGCTTAATTTGAATCAAATGTTTATTATTGAAAAAAGAAAAATCATAGATAAGCTAAAAATTTTTCGAAGCAAGCGTCTAGGTTGTAGGTGGATATTTAGGGCATGGCGACTTTCGTCTACACCTTCATTATTCGAGTTAATGAAATTTAAATCATCATTCATGATACGTGTTGATTCAATGGTGACTGCCATCTTTATATTGTTTCTCAAATAATGAACAACTGAAGATTCTTATTATTCTTCTTCTTTATCTATTTCATTGTGCTGAATGACCAATAGTCTGATAGCCGAATAATAGGTTTACAGTAAGATAAGTCAATATTCATCGTCCAATAATGACATTCTCATCACACATTCTTCTAAAGTTTCTCTTTAAAATTTTTTTCTACTTTTTACAATAAAGTTTTATTTCGATGTTCTTAATTGCCATATTTTTTTTTTCGAACAAATTCAAGTTTACCATTCATTTCGTTATTTTTTTAGAATACTATGAGGTAAACAATAAGTCTGATACTTCCTAGAAAAAAAATTTGACTGAATCGAATTGTAACTCACGATCAACTAAGTTCATTCAAAAACTCTTCAATTTCATTTGGAATAAGATGTTTTATTTGACGTAGAAATCAATGAAATGAGAAGATTTTTCTTGCTTTCATTTGGAAGGAATAGTAAAGCGTTAAAAAGTGATAGTAGTACGACCGATCACTTTGTCGATTAGAAAGATATGATTTTCTCGATTCTTATTACAAAAACACTATGCTACATTAAAACAAAATCATATAATATTATCAGAAAAAGCTCATAAAAAAATTCTCATGTTATAAATAATGATCAATATCATTGAGAAAATATATCTTGATTGATAATTATATGAAAAAATATCTCAAACACTACTCCATTCAATAACATTGAATACATTAATTAGTTTCTATGAACTGATACATAATCTTAAAAAATTTCTCTCAAATGTTTGTGAAATTCCATTCGCTTCTAAACAGTCACAGTAAAAGTTTTTCATTTCGACGAACACTTCGAAATTTCTCAGACAAGCTTATAACAAAAAACATAATCATTCTATAGTTAATGTGGCAAATATCTTTCGAAGATATTACTTGTTTAACAGTTACTTTTCATTAGTGAACTAAGTAGGTTTTGAAAACTTTTGTAGTTTAAAAATACAATATCAAATTGACATCAATAACACAGCATGCAATTAAAACTCATTATACTTTTATATGATTCAAACTGACGAAAAAGTCCATGAGAATCCATTTAAAACCAAACTACGTAGAAATGACAATCGACAAAAAAATTCTATCAGATTTGTATGCTTTTTTGAATTTCATAATTCTGTTGAATTGGATCATGAAAATCTATTGCTCTTTATCCAGCACAAGATCTACTGCATTATACTTGAAAGTTCTTCATTTATATATGAGAACTACCTATTCGTGTTTTAAAAAAATCGTTTGAGAAAAGTATATTGTTCTCTAACTTTTTAATAGCAGTCAAGTAAATGTATTTTTAAAATCATACGTTATAAATGATTGAACATCAATCAATATCGATTCATGAAATTTTTCTTATTCATATTTCATTGAATGTTTTTGGATCTTACTTTGTGATTGTCGAATCTGTTCTCTCAGAAGCTGAATTTCATATTGTGATTCTTGGCGAAGTTGTTGAAGTTGTTCTTTAAAGCAAATTGCATCAGAATGTCGTTGAACAATATCATTGTTTTTATAAACAATGTTACAATGTGGACACGTCGTTACAATCATCGAACATTGTGATTGGTGTTCAATAAAATTCTTTTGCAACATTTCTAAGAGACAACCATTACATTTTACAAGTTGATATTCACATGTCATCTCATGTTTTTCGAGTGCTTCATATGAAATAACCTAGAGCGAATAATTGATTAAAGATTTTCTTTTTCTACGAGACAAGAGAAAAGAGCTCAACTAACTTCATTACAACCATTCGGCTGATAAATACAAATAACGTGTAATTTAGCCAATTGTCTGGTAATAAATTTAGAACACGATCGTTGAATGAAACTGTCACACCGCATAGGACATTGATTCGGATTTTTACTTAGCCATTGTCTAATGCACATTGAACAGAAATGAGTTT